ACAAAGGATCGAATTAAAAACAACAGTCAGCTGATTTTCCTTCATAAAGCATGAAGGACTATACTGCCCTCTGTATGAGAAAAAAAAATTACAGCAATTTTATTATCCGATCGCTAGTAATCGTGACTACGCTCTTATGTGACCGACTGTATAGAAGGCGCCACTAACGCTGGTATACGCAGTTTGGTGGCCCTGGTGTCTCCTAAAAAGAAAGCAGCCATAATGTCTTACGACAGACGTAAAACTGCGTTCGAAAACGTCCTTTGTCAGATGTGAGTGAGGTGACTTGAGTATGCAATGTGGGGATAATTGGATACTCAGAGGACTATTAGTTTTCGAACGATGTCTAAGAGTTTAAATGTAAACAAATTAAAATGGATAGTATTGAGTTACGTAAAAAGCGCTTGATTTCTTTGGCTATAATAACTAGCAATGATTTTTTGAAATCTAGTTTAACAAAGGATAAGTGTAACAAAGGATTGCGATACAGATGAGGAAATTGATAGTATTTTGCTAGCAAGATATCGACATAGATTGCGTGGTGCACGAAAAAAGCCATTGCGCATAATAGGTTATGTAGAAAGAACTGTTCAAGATTTAACAGCAAAGCAATTTCGTGAGCATTTTCGCATGACTCCTGATGCGTACCCGGTAAAAAATTTTTCATATATACTTACATATACACAAATTAAAATAATTATATCTAATTATGCAAATTTATATGCCGAATATGTTCATACAATTTTATACACGAAGAATTTCTTTTTTTAAGAAAATGGCTTCAGAGATATTTTATATCAAATTACAAAATAACTATTAGTATCATGTTAGATACAAAAAAATTATATAAAACTAATTTTTACTATATTTTTAAACAATTTTTGATATATAATCATATATACTTATACACAAAGTAAAATAATTATCTAATTATGAAAATTTATATACCAAATATGTCTATACAACTTTATACATAAAAAATTTTTTACCGAGTATGAGTGTTTAAAAAGAAAATTATATCCTTTACTGAGTAAAACAAGTTATTCGAGCAGATCCGCCATTCCTGCTCGTAAGCATTGTTATCAACACTGTGGCTTTTTGCTACTCCTGATTCTTACAAGTAATAATTAAATATGCTCTATAAATGTAGACTGTTCTATTTTTTAATTTTATTTTTTTTATTTTTTTTTTACTTATTTTTGTTGTCAATAATACTATGGTATATATTGTAGGTTTGTGGGTGAGCGATTTGACATGGGAAAATCATCTGCAAGTGATTCTTTTATAAGAGTTGTTGAAGCCCTTAACGATATTGCCGGAGACGTCATCGTCTGGCCCCGAGAAGACCGATGAATTGCTCTTTGTGAAAAATTTCAGCGTATTGGCAGGTTACCACATGTAATAGGAGCTATAGATGGGACAAAAATACCAATCAAAGCTTCTAAAGCAAGTATCTATATCACAGAAAAATAGGAACAGAGTTGTAATATTAAAAATATTACTAACAATTTTAATATTACAACTCTGTTTTCTATTTTTAATGAATAGTTTTTGAAATAATTAATATTAATACTGTTCGGAGTAATATTCCTAACTAATGTGGTACATTATTTCTAGGTAGACGCACGCTTCTACATAAGTAAAGACAAAGAATATGCAATAACATTGCAAGCAGTATGTGATGCAGAACTTCGATTCTTAGATTGCTTTGCTGGATTTGCTGGATCAGTGGCAGATCGGCGAGTCTTTTGAAATTCAGACCTATGGAAGGAAGTCAATGCAAATAAAGCATCTTATTTTGTAGATCAGGATTACATTATTGGAGACAAAGCTTATCCATGTTTGACATGGTTAATACCACCATTCATTAATTTTGGGCAACTCACACAGTTACGATATTCAAATTAAAGGAGTATACAGCATATGCTTTATAGTAGCTTAAAACTTATCTTCACTTATTTCTGTTGTGTAGGCTCAGAAGAAATTTAATACAATACTTGCCAGTATGAAACAAGTTATCGAAAGAGCATTTGCGCTGCTGAAAGGTAGATGGAGACAACTAAAATTCTTGGATATGAATCGTGATGACATGATTCCTTTTGTTATATTAGCAAGCTGTGTATTACACAATATTTGTCTTGATAATGGACTAGAAGATTATGAAGACTTTATTATCAAAGGGCATGATGATGATAATGATGATGATAATCATTTTGTTAGGGAACCAGTAAATTTACAAGACGATCCTGAGGGTATACTAAAACGACAATATCTCACTACTTTAATTCCCTGAATTAATATGATATATTAATATATTGTTATAATTATTAATTTAAAACATTTAAACTAAGATTCTATAGCCTAGAGCTATATTTTTATGTGTTTAGAATCAGTCATCATCAAATTATTGTCAAAGAGTAATTTTTATAATTTTGTAACGTGGTACATATGTTAGTATATATAGTGTAAAAAGTAGTAATAGTATGTGTTATGTAATGTAGTAGTTTGTAAATAATATGATAAAAAATAGTCATTTATTATTGAAAAAATAAGTCATTTATTAATTTTACTTGTATTTTATAATCTTACTCTTTAATGAACGAATGTGCAACTAGAATGAAATTGTATGGAAGAGAATGATATGATAGAAAAAGATGAAAAGGTTTTATTATATTCGTTTTCTTATAATGTAAAATGCTATCGGCAATACATGTGCATCCGTAATACTAGCTCACAGCCATTACAAAATTATAATATTGCAAACAAACTAAAATCTAGTATATAGCTGCATTTTATCACAAGTTGCAACAAAATATTAAAGATAATAAAAGCCATTTTTAATCTCAATAATACGAACAAAAATAATGTACCATAGATTTCAAGTAGTAACACAAAATAAAAATAATCTTTAGTGTATAATAAAAATAAAATACTGATCTTTAAAAAATAATAAACTTTGCGCATAAAGTTTGTGAAATGAAAGCACTGAACATTCTATCCTAAAATTAAAACAGGTACACATTGCACTGCAATATCAATACCTAGGTTGTTTAATAAAAAAAATTTTACGTATTTGTAAGCTGCACAGTTTTGTTATGTGTATGTTTAATTTTTAGGTATTTTTAGTTATTTTAATTTAGTTATTCTGTACTAATATTGCAGAATGCACTGCTTTTGTGTTATATTTTTAAGTTAGTAGGAAAATTTCATTATTCATTGACAGTACTGTAAATTTATAGTTTAGTTTAGTTATTTTTAGTTTATTTTTAGTTTAATTTATAGTTTTTTTATTTATAGTTTTTTTTTTAACTAAAAATTAAACATACATAATAAAACTGTGCAGCTTACAAATACTTAAAATTTTTCAAGCAGTTTTGTCATAAAATGTTCATAGGTTTTTCGGGCTCTATTTTGACATGCCAATAACTCCTGATGCCTTTGTTCTTTCATTTCATCACGTTTTCTGTTTTCTTCACTTATGGTTTTTGTCCACAGTTCCAATTCACGTTCCATACGCGTTTTTTTTGGTTTCTTTGATTTGCTTTCACTATCTGTTACATCATCAATGTCGCTGATTGTATTATCAGCGTTAGAAGATACACTGCTTAGTGATCTTGCTGAATGAGATCTTTTCTTCAAATTTGAAGCCAGAGCAACAGGTTTTAGGCAAGGTTTTTCTCCCAGCACTTCATCCAATTCTTCAAAATATTTACAGGTTTTTGGTTCTACTCCCGTTTGGTTGTTATGGTCTTTTATACGCTTGTATGTTTTAGTAATATCTTTAAATTTATTTTCACAATTCTTAGCAGTATATTGCCATGCACTGTTAACTTTTTTTAGTTCTTTGCTTATTTTTGTCCATACAACATCATTTCTAATAACACTACTTTCAAACAAATATTGATGTTGCTTCGACTGATAAGTGAATGTCTTTACAGTATTCTCGTCTTTCCAAAACGCAGTAGCTTTTTTTTCATCACATGTCTGAATCGAAACTACATTTGTATCATCCTTACAAGCTGATTTTTCAAGCTCAACACCAAAATACTGCCGAATTTGCGGGATATCTTCCACCTCGACCGTAGTATTTTCTGCAGAAACAATTTAAAAAATATGTATATTAGTAAAATACTATATTCTAAACAAGCGTACTATAATATGCATGTGGTTAGGATACACACTTTTTGCAAATTTTGAAGAAAACTGCAAATAAATACTTACCCACTTTATCCCATAAAAGCAGACATCCATTCTCTGTAATTGCTACCTTATTCTGATCTTTAATAATCAGATATCTCGCTAAGTCAATTTCGATGTCAGACGACATTTTACTTCCCGCCAAACAATTACCTTCTTTTCCCTATGTAGCGAAGAAGGGAAAAATAGGCACTCTCAAAGTAGGTCAAATGTGTTTTTGAACGCAACAATCGAGAGTTCACGGAGAGTTCTCAAAGTATTTTCGAACAATTCTCGGAAGAGTAAAGGCACTCGAGGAATGTTTTCGAACGCTATCTAAGTCTTGAGGTCTATCTACATAAGACGCAGACGCAGATCGCAGGCGGCTGATCTCGAAGAATTGACCATTCACGTTTGTCAAATCAGTCAATTGACTTACGTGATTGATCAATTCTGTGAGATCAACGGCCTGCGACTTGCGTCTGCGTCTTATGTAAGAGCCGTCTACAATGGAGAGTTGTAGGCCGTAATAGTAAGAAATTGACAAATCACAATCGATTATTCTTCTGTACTTTGTCTGTGATTGGTCAATTTCTTACTATTACGGCCTACAACTCTCCATTGTAGACGGCTCTGTAGATAGACCTTTAGACGTAAGTTAAGGGCCATTACACGTACAAGAATTTTAGCCATAACCGTAAGATCGTAAGCAATTCAACCAATAACAGACCAGTATTATGTAAAGATGAAAGTATAAAGCTTCAAGAAATTTCAAATATATAATGAAAAATGGCTATTGAAGCATGACACTGATGTTATAGTGTATAAAAATAAGACCAGTATTATTTTACATTAGTTGGAATGCTGGCCAGCGATTGGTCAATTTGCTTACGACCTTGCGATTACGTCTAAACTTTTGCTACGTGCAATGGCCTTAATGTACAAGCTTTAGCGTATGGCGTAGAATGATTATAGGTAGTATGCTACATATCAAAGTATGCTTATAACTTGTACTTTGATTTTCTTTATTATATCTTGCAAAAATATTATCTGACTCATATGTTTTGGTGTCTGTTACATTCTTCTCAGCTATAGATGCATTTGATTGAGATTTTACGTTGCTATAAGTACTGAAACACAAGTATATTAAAAAAAACTTTATCTTATTATATTTCTAAACTATCACGTTCATATGTTTACAGACATAAAACTACCTTCGTCTTTTAATAATCTTGTCCAAAAATGTCATTTGAGAAAAAAAAGAAAATTGACGACAATTTGAATTTGAAGCAGCACTTCTATTTCTAAACTGATTTTCAATTCGTTTTTTTTCACGATTGTATTGTTCTTTTAATAAAGTACATCTTTTTTGGCAATAATCTGGTGTGTAAAAATCACCTGTAATAAAAGTTCAACAATAAAAACATGTAATGTTTCAAAGTAACAAAAACATGTAATGATTCAAAATAAATCAAATCAGTAGAAGTCAAAAATTTTAATAAAAAGTTACCACAATTTGTTTTAATCATTGTTTTAGATATTTTGTTTCAAGCATTTTGTTTAATTAACGTATCCTTAAAATTAGGATTTTTTTGTCGTACACAAATGGTCGTTCTCTATATAACGCAATTAAAAATTTATCACCACTTTTTTCTTCAACAATAATATTTTCTGAATCATTGGAAAAATCTTCAATATTTTGAAAAAAACTATTATTCTCATTTGATGAATAGTAATTCTGATGATTTGATGACATTTTCTATAAATTATCTTAATAGGAAACTAAAATAGAACAAATTTATAAATTAATATGAAATAAGCAAAAAAAAGATTCTTTAAGCATTCTTATGTAAACAAGAACAAAGAAATATTGCACTTAACCTGAAATGTTATATTATTATCTCTAAGCATACTAGATCGTTGTTCTACAAAAATTTTATAACAATTTTATTATTTACTTTCGAATTACTTTTACTTAATTAAGTAATTAAACAAGATTAGCAGGATTGGGTAGTGTCTAGTTAAAAAGATGAAAGTTAAGTTAAAAAGTTAAAAAGTCAAATAATTTTAACTTTACTTAGTTACATTTTTGGGCTCTTAATTTTTAACTTAATTTAGTTATATTTTATCGGTAACTATTAAATTTTCATTTAAATCTCTTGAGGTTAGCCACACCATAAGATTTTGATTTTTGGGCGAAGTTGTTCTCATATAAAACGGATTATATTTCGTCGTATGACCATAATTGGTATACTTATAAACTGAAGAATTCGATCAATCACAAAGCTCAGAATGGTTTGTGTATGCAAACAATTCGTATATGTTTGAGAATTGAGCCAATAAACGTTGGTCGTGAAATCCAACGCAACATGATCGACAGTGTTTACAGTTTTTGTAAGACGCTTATAGGAAGCGTTCCGTTTCATGCATATGCGCGCATTTATTCATAGTACACGTTACGTATATTATAGATCATACGCGCATAAGCATGAAACGGAACGTGTTTTAAATTTTAAATTGCTCTGGATGTAGGATAAAAAAAGAGGTTTTCTACACTTTTAAAATCGAGTATTCGGGAGTTTAACACCAACAACCATGAAGTTCATTCAAGTACATTTAAAGAACAGATCTTATTAAAATCCAATGATTTTTTTATACTTAATAATAAGACGCTAGATCAGAACCAAAACAAAACTAATTACAATAGATTATATTATTCACATTTACTTGTCGACCGATATATTTATAACGGAAAATGATTTTTCTAAAACACTCAAACGTGCTTTTATAAAATAGAATGCATCAATATCATCTTCAGTTTACATTGAACGACTATTCAGTGCAGGAGAACTCGTTTTTGATAATCTTCGAGGAATGTCAGAAAAAAAATTTCAAAATGGCTTTATTACTTAAATTTAATAAGTTTTTGTAAACAATATATATATATATATATATATATATATATATATAATAAATATGTATCTGTCGACAAAAAATATTC